AGATACACTCCTATTCTGGAGGAAACTGGACCTGGCAGTGGTGTGTCTTCACTATTATGCCAAAGAGTATAACCTCTTTTTTGTGATGATATTGACCAGGAGTTTTCGTTGAATCCAAAGGCACATTTATTTGATTTCCCTTCTCTACTTATATTTTTGTATGAAACCGCTACATCGATTCCTCTTCCTTGCCACTCCACCTCCCAGTAACAACGTCTAGTCAGACTCTCTCTGCTCAGAACCTGAAGCCAATCTGTGAATCTTTCTGGGTGATCGGGATAACGCTGTCGTTGGTTCATTAATGTTACTTTTCTCTTTCCCTCAGATAATAACACATATGTGTTTGCTGTGTTTGGATGTAGTGTGATTCTACTTGAATATTTTAAGAATTCAGCTCTCGTCTTTGGTTCTGAAGACAAACCTTCAACTTCAGCGACTCTCGCTGATATGTTTGTCCATGTGTCTCTCAGGATGTCCTGCAGTTTCTCTTTGAGCTCTGACACAGCTGCTGTCACATCCTCAAAGTATCTCAGAGGATCAATATTGATGCTGGATGAGTGTGTAGACTCACTGAGTGCTGACAGTGAGGGGTAGTTCTGGAGAAACTGGGTGTGATCCTCTATGCATGAGAGCTCTTCCAGCTCAGCATCTTTCCTCTTTAGATCAGTGATCTCCTTCTCCAGCTTCTTCTGAAGCTTTTTAACTCGACTCACTTTGGTTTTCTGTTGGGATCTGATCTGCTGCTTCACATCAGAGCTTCTTTTCTGGATGAGACGGATCACTGAACCAAGGATCTTCTCATTGTCCTCTACTGCTTTATCAGCAGAGCCATTGATGGCCTCCACCTCCTGTTGAAGCAGCTTCACATCTTTCTCTTGGTCCTGGATTCTCTGCTGGATTTGTTATCGTCTCTCATGGAGCTCCTTCTGCTTCTCAGTCATTTCTACTTCAGCTTGGACTGCTGCATGGCCTTTATGTTTATCATTTAAACAGAGAAAACAGATGCACTGCTTATCAGTACGACAGAAAATCTTAATTAGCTCATCATGATGAGAGCAGGTGATCTCCTGGAGCTTCTTATTGGGGTCCACCAGCTTGTGCTTCTTTGATGGTGTAGCATCATAATGATGATGGAGGTGATCTCTACAGTAAGACGCATGGCAGGACAAACAGGACTTTACAGCTTTCATCTTCCTTCCAGTGCAGACATCACAGGCCACATCTTCAGGTCCAGCATACCAGTGATCAGCTGGAGCAGCTTGGAGTCCAGTCGTCTTCAGATCCTCCAACAACTCTGATAACATGATGTTTTTCACAAGTACAGGCTTTGGTCTAAAGCTCTTCCTGCACTGAGGGCAGCTGTAGATCCTCCTCTGATCTTCTCCATTCCAGTGGTCTTTAATACAGTCCATACAGTAGGTGTGTCCGCAGCGAATAGTTGTTGGATCCTTCAGTAGATCCAAACATATCGAGCAGCAAATATATTTTTGGTCCAACTGAAACCCTCCGTGAGACATTTTACCTCTGAGTAAGAATGACGGTGTAAGTCCCAGTTACTTACAACAGAAACTAGTTACTGTATGTTATGCATGGAATGTCAGCTGTTGTACAGATAATAGTCACGCCCACATAACCACTTGTGACTAAATAGGAAACAACAGAAAAATGCCTACATAGTTGAGGGAGGTGCCAGCCTTTAACACCTCAAACAGGAGTTATTAAAAGATGAAAGAGGTCATGTGAGGTGTGTTTAATTTACTTGCTTTAACCGGTTTATTAAATAAAATAAAACACAAAATACTTTCCAGTATAGAAGGTTTTTTTTCAATAATAATTTTGAAAATACACTTATCAGAGTAATGCCTCCCTAAACCCTGTGGGTTGTGTAAAGATTTCAGTTTGTGTGGGTGTTTTTGTGTTTTCTTTTGTTCTCCCTTTTTACCACTAGATGGTGCCCTCTCCTCGTTTGGGCCTCCTCTCACACCTGCGGCTCGTTGGGTTATCACCGGAGGAATATTTGAGCAGCGGGCTGTCACTACCTCGACGCCAGAGTGTTTGCCAGTTTTGGGTACTCTAGCCAAACTGAGATCAGCTGAGGCCACAGATTGGCTAAGGGTTGCCATTTTTTTTTACCTCTCATACAGATGGTGGCAGCAGTAATACTATCAACTGGAATATTCAAAACATTTTATTTTTTGTGGTTAAATATACACATCTATATACTAACAGTAAAGATGATAAATACAGAATTAGTGCTCTTTTCAGAACTAGATTTTGTGTTTTATGGGGTAAAGAGAAAATGATGTGTCTCTGCAAATCATCTAGGAGTCTTCAGTGAAATCAAAGATAAATAATGATTTTAATAAAAACTTAGCAAATAATCAATTTATGTAGATATTAGTGCCTTTAAACATCAATTTTATGCAGGATGTTTATTGATACAAGTAGGTAAGTAATGACAATGATGACTGATTTACAGTATGACTCAGAACTCAAAACTGAGTTTTATTCACTATACCTTTTATCTAGAAATTATGGATGTATAAATATATTCGTCTATTTGTTAGCAAAGGCTGTAGGAAAGTATAGTTAGTCTTTATTTAGAAAATAGGGATGTTTTGCTCGTTAATTTTTTTCTTGGAACAGTGTAGATTGACCCTGAGGTTCTGGTGCCTATCCGCTTGCAGCCCCCCCTCAGTGTACATTGGTTATTGCCTGCCCACCCTTATAAACAATTTCTGGTTACGCCTCTGGTTGGGATTCCCATTAGTACTAGCATCTGGTTAGCCTAAAGTTGTAGGGAGGTCATATTTAGATTTCAAATCATTCTGGCTTAAACATGTATATAAATGTACTCTTTATCAGACCATATTGTCCTAAAAGTTAGGAAATTTCTATCTAAACAAAATCCTGTCTTAAAATCTGTGTTTTCTTTTCTGTTATCTTATGCAGGCCAGTTAGTTATACGTCAGCTTGTGCACCTAAATTCGGCCAATCATATATTAACAGTCATCTGTCAAACAAATTTTTTCGGTCATAGCACCTTGATTCATATGTCGCAGCTAATATACGCAACGGTTGAAATAAGAAATAATGTCGTCTCAGTGTTCACGGGGATGGACGTCTGTGTCTTCAGCAGGCGTAGAGCTAACAGAACTGGCAGCGTTGCGAGGCAAGGGCTCAAACATGTACGGTTGTAAGCCTTCTACACCAAACCAAGCTTCTGCCGCCCTGGCGTCCTCTTCCACAACATCTTCGTTCCCGATTTCCTCTAAATAAAAAATGTATGACGGAGGAGACTCATCCACGACCTCCGACACAAAACTCTCCTCCTCTTGCAAGTTTCCTCTGTCCATAGCGTTCCTTGACAGTGTCGTTTCTAAGTCACCAATTTAGTGCTACTTGGTCCCAATGGAATTTCCCATTGGGAACCTACTAGCACTAAGTTGCTAACTGGTTAGCAAGATGCATCCGACAAACCGGCCACAACCAAACATGCTTGCAAACTTTCCACTACAACAATCCCTCCCCCTTGATAAACGACCAATCACATTCACTTTATTCACTCGTGTATTGAATAGGGGGATTAGGGGGAGAAGCGGCTCTATTCCGAGCCTCTCCCTATCTCTAGAGCCCCTTTTCCCATTGTGTCAACCCTTGGTTTTGTTGGTGCAGTGGTTTCAACCTTTCTTATGACTTGCTCTCATATGAAGATGATGCTTTTTCTCCTTCTCCAGCACCCTCTTGTGTCTACCCAGCTGAGCTCTACGTTTTGTCTTCTTTTGGCATATCTTTCTGCATATCTTCCAAAAACAGTGAATTATGGATCTGATTAGCTGGTCTAGCTAAAGTAGCACTTGCAGTATGAGTGTAAAGAAAGACATGAAAAAGATAAGCAGTTTTTTTTTTAACTTTTGATTAACAAAAATGGAACCTATGAGAGTTTCACCCATGATATCAACTTTTTTTTATTTACCTCATAGGGATTTGAAATAAAAAAAACAAACAAACCCAGATATCCTCCCTTAAAATGACATTACAACCCAAAACTTAATTGAAAAAAAAGTTACAAATATTATACAGAAATAGAGACCACATCATTATGGAAATACAATTATTCACATCCTAATTGAATAGATAGAAACAAAATAACTGAGTGTGAAATTTCAAAAGAGATCTATGTGCCTCTTCATTTTGATCTTTATCCAAAAGTAAAGAGTGAGATAATTAAATATCTAATTTTGCTAAAATGTAGAGATTTCTTTGTTATAAATTAAAGAAAGTACTGCCTCTCTTTTCGGAGGAACTAACATCCTGAAACGTAGACAAAAGCCCTTCTTATGCTTGGCAGATGGTGTTTTTCAGCCACATAAAGGTTATCAAGTCACAGGGTCAGAGACAGCTGTGCAAACATTTGTTTAGAGAGCAAGCAGAGCTCCACCTAGGTGTGGCAGAAGCAACACTAGGCTAAGCAAAAGGAAAGATGAATACGCATATGAGCAAAGCCGGCGAAGAAGAGTCAGAGTTGAAAGTGCGTGTGTGAGATTTATACACTACACACCTGCCTTTTTTTTTTTTTTTTTTTTTTTAACAGTGTCCTGTCTGGCAATGTGGCAATAAGAATAATTGTCTTGATGCCAAAAAGAGCCCAACAGATTTTACTTTTTACAAGAGGAGCAGTACGGCTATTGCCATATTGTTCTGCTTGATTTATGCATATAAATAGCTTTATTATAATTATGCAGGGAGTTTTACAGATCACATGGAAAGTGCAATGTAAATATAACAGAAGGGGAAAAACAGAAAAAAAGGAGAAAAGATGAAAAAAAGAGGAGATAAAAGGGAGATAACAATAAAACATTTTCAGTCTGCTTCATCACCTGCAAAGAGAAGTAAAAAGAACAGCACAACCAACAGACATGGTACGAGACATACAATAAAGTAACACCTAGATACTATTGCTGAAGTAGTATTATATAATCTGACATGTACTCTGTGTTACCTGAAGATAAGAATATGGGCTTTCTGTATGGAAGTGAATCTGAGTACCTGGAACCAAGCACCTGTGCACATCTGTCTTCTTAAACTGGTAGCTGTAAGCTGAATTTGGTGGCACAAAATAGCTGGTCTGCATGGCACCCCTAGGTCTTTTACTGGTACGCAGTAGCTACCCGTTCCTGCTTAATATGTCGCTGTTACAGTATGATAAACTTAGCCGTGTCCCCTCTTAGATAGAAAAAGTAGTAGTAAAAGAACTGAATCCCAGCATATAGAGGCTGAGTGAATGTGGTCTGGACTCTATAGAGGAGAGTCATGGTTTCAGAGACGCTGTAGAAAGACAGAATACCTGCTCTGTGATCCAGATAAACTCCTATTCTGGAGGAAACTGGACCTGATACTTTGATTTGGACTTTGTTAAATCTGTATGTGTAACTTTTACCATCACATCTTAAAGCCCAGGAATTGGGATTGCATCCAAAGGCACATTCATATGAGTTACCTACTCTGCTGATGTTCTGGTATGAAACAGCTACTTCAACACCTCTGCCACTCCACTCCACCTCCCAGTAGCAACGCCCAGTCAGACTCTCTCTACTCAGGACCTGAATCCAATAATTGAATCTGTATGGATGGTTAATATATGTACGCTTTCTTTTCACTAAAGTCGCTCTTCTGTCGTCGTCAGACAGCAACAGGTTCATGTGTGCTGTGTTCTGATCCAGACTGATGTATCGAAAATATTCTGAAAAGTCTTCTCTGGTCTTTGGTTCTGGTGTCAACAGCAGGACATCCACATCAGATACTGCCACTGAGATGTTTGTCCATCCTTCTCTCAGGATGTCCTGTAGTTTCTCTCTGAGCTCTGACACAGCTGCTGTCACATCCTCAAAGTATCTCAGAGGACGAATATTTATGCTGGATGAGTGTGTAGACTCACTGAGTGCTGACAGTGAGGGGTAGTTCTGGAGAAACTGGTTGTGATCCTCTGTGATTGAGAGCTTCTCCAGCTCAGCATCTTTCCTCTTCAGCTCAGTGATCTCCTGCTCCAGCTTCTTCTGAAGCTCTTTGACTCGACTCACTTCAGTTTCCTGCTGGGATCTGATCTGCTGCTTCACATCAGAGCTTCTTTTCTGGATCTGACGGATCAGATCAGTGAAGATCTTCTCACTGTCCTCCACTGCTTTATCAGCAGAGCCATTGATGGCCTCCACCTCCTGTTGAAGCAGCTTCACATCTTTCTCTTGGTCCTGGATTCTCTGCTGGATTTGTTGTTGTCTCTCCTGGAGCTCCTTCTGCTTCTCAGTCCTTCCTGCTGCAGCTGGGACTGTTTCATGGCCTTTATGTTCATCCATTAAGCAGAGATAACAGATACACTGCTGATCAGTACGGCAGAAGATCTTCATCACCTCATCATGACGAGAGCAGATGTTCTCCTTGAGATTCTTGGTGGGGCCAAGGAGCTTGTGTTTCTTTAAAGGTGGAGCATCATAGTGAGGTTGAATGTGATTCTCACAATAAGAAGCCATACAGACCAGACAGAACTTGACAGCTTTCCTCTTCCTCCCAGTGCAGACATCCCAGGCCACATCTTTAGGTCCAGAATAGCGGTGATCAGCTGGTGTAAATCTCTCTCCAGTCTTTTTTGGATCCTCCATTGTCTCAGCTAACATGATGTTTTTCTCCAGGACAGGTCTTGTTCTGAACTCTTTCCTGCAATGAGGGGCACTTTGGATCTTCCTCCTGTCCTCTGCCCCCAGTGGTCTTTAATACAGTTCCTGCAGTAGCCGTTTCCACAGGGAATAGTCACTCAATCCTTAAGTAGGTCCAAACAGATGGATCAAGATAAGTTTGTTTGGTCCTGCTCACCTGCTGTCTGCGCCACTTCAGCTCTTAATAACAATGACTGTGTGAGTTAAACTTCCTCCTTCCTTTAAGTCTACATGGCCTTGATCTCAAAGTTATGGGACTTTGATGTTGACAGGTGGAGCTTTCCATGTTTCATTATAAAAAGAAGGAGGGGCTGTGATATCTGCTCAGTTGTCCTAACTGATGTGATGTAGCCTAAACAAGGAAGGCATGTGACTCCTGGAATGGGTTGGCCATTGTGAGCACCAGGACACACTTGATGGTCACACCCAGTGGTGTCAAAAGTACACACATTTGTTACATAAGTAGAAGTAGAGAACATACTTTTTACTCAAAAGTGAAAAAAGTATGCGCTCCAAAAACTACTTAAAGTATAAAAGTATAAAGTAACCTTTAAAAAAACAGCCAGATGCCACTATATGAATTGAAAACTCAATTTTTTGACTATTTCTAAAAATTCTTTGAGATAGGGCCAAGAATGAGGGAGGTCTTGTTGGTCTCCGTCTCCCGATACGCTCTCGCCTGTGCCCGACCTTTCAGACATTTCAACATCTTTTTCTGAATCCGACATTGTAGCATGGCGTAGACAATTCACCTTCTTCTGTTGATTTCCTTTGGTGTCGGCACAAATTTGACGAATAGCTAACCAATCCATTGACACTAGTTTTCACTAGATGTGGATGACACCAATGATGTGAAATAAACCAATTAGAAATCAGTGGGATCCGAATAAAGAAAATCATCAACCAGTAAAGGTCCGGAGACATATTTAATGATCTGTTACTTTAAACAGAATTTAACACTGGAGGTGTTTATGCATCCATGTTATACATTGAATAAAAAAAAAAATGTGAACCTTTTTTTCCATTTTAAAATCTAAAGTGTTTTTTGAAGTAGAGAACAACAATCTTTCAGTTTGGTATAGAGACAATTCCCTGATTCACATATTTTTTAAAACACCTGAACTGGTCCGGCCAGGTTAAGATCCGCTATTGCAATCGCACCAAACAGGGAAAAGAATGGTGAGAAGATGTGGTTTGTCAAATTAAATTATAGTAACAACAGATCGGTTACTACAAATTAGAGCATAATTCTGTTGGGATCTGGAGGTCTGTCCACCTTTCTCCACCAGAGGGCGTTCTAGGTCTCCTGGAGCTGGAGCTAACTTCACCACCTGCGGCTCGTTTTGCTCATCAGGAGACCAGTATATAAGGAGGCAGAGGACATCACTCCGACGCCAGAGTGTTTGCCAGTTATGGTTAGCAAGCCTGAGCCAACCTGCCTGTCTGAATCTCTGACTCCCAGAAAGCCTGAACCTAATCTGTTTTTGTCCTCTCTGCTTCCCAGGTTGAACCTGCCTGAAACCTGAAAGAGTTTCTCTGCTGGAAATCTGTCAGACTGATCTCTGAAGAACCCTGGAGAATCAAACCTGTCAAAGACCTGCCTGCCCGCTCTCAGAAGAATCTAAAAGGGAAACTCAAACCTGTTACCTGCAAACTCTCAAACCAAGCTCTGCCTCCGCCAAGCCCTCAGCCTGCCAACAGCCTCTGGACCCTCCTGGTTCCCCCTCTCTGCCGCTCTGCTCAACTCCAGATCAGGTACAGACCTGCACTCTCTAACTCTGCAAATTACCTGGACTTCAGCTAACCACTCTGTCCCCCTCTGCAGTGATCCCAGTCGTGACCAGTCCTGGATCTAATAACCCCTTGGATCAGTTCTTTATTCTCTGTGTTGTTTCAATAAACCTTTGAACTTTTTCCCTTGAGTCCGTGTGTTCTGCATGTGGGTTAGAAACCTTAAACCAAACATGACAAATTCTTATACATTTCAAAAAACTAACACCGTTTATTTAAAAGATTGGATGCAAACTATTGGTACTTCAACAGACCAGGATGCAGATTTCTCATCTGCATTAGCAACTGCACATATGCTGGGTGCTGATGGGGAGTTTTTTAATCTGTCATATTAAATTAAGTGTTCATTCCTGCATGTTTTGCTCCTATGAATTTAATGATAATATCGCGCATGCTCTCCTCAAGCTCCGAGGATAAATCTTAGCCAGCAGGTGGGTTCCGGATCCGGACCGCTAATCTGGCCCTCTGCTTTAAACCGAAGCCAAGAGTAACGAGTAACGTTTGTTTTAAAAATGTTAGGAATAGAAAGTACAGATACTTGTGTGAAAATGTAATGAGTAGGAGTCAGAAGTAGGAGAACAAATAAGTAATGGAGTAAAGTATAGATACTTAAAAAGTTTACTTCGTCACTTGACACCTCTGGTCACACCCCTCACAATCAGACAGCCTTCAGGCTTCAGGATGGCTCGCACATGGATGGGGCTTCTCAATCTGGGACTACATCTTTCCAGAGAAGAACTATAAAAACAAAACAAAAGTAAACTGAAGCATTCTATAATAAAAACTGAAGCATAGTTAGAGTAACCTTTTTTTTTTTTTAAGAGAGATTAAACCATATATCTCCTATCTTAACTTTTCCTTATTGACTTCCTGTTTCACTTGACAAACTAACATTTAAAATGATCATTCTCACATAAAAAGCCCTAAATTACCAAGCTCTGTCATTTATCAGACATCTGGTCATTCCTTATGTTTGTAATAAAGCGCTTTGCTCTCAATCTGCAGGTTTACTAGTGGTTCCTAGAATTTCTAAAAGTAGAATGGGAGGCAGATCTTTTAGTTCTCAGGCTCCTCTCCTGTGGAACCAACTACCAGTTTTAGTCCGTGAGGCAGACACCCTGTCTACTTTTAAGGCTAGGCTTAAAACTTTCCTTTTTGATAAAGCTTATAGTTAGAGTGGCTCAGATTATCCTGAGCTATCTCTATAGTTATGCTGCTATAGGCTTAGACTGAAGGATTTTGCATTATTCTCTTTAACTCTAATTATATAAGGCATGCACTGTTTAGTCTGTGTGTCCACAATTTGCGAGTGTTATGGTATTTCATGTAACTTATCTTTGTATTCACATCACCATTGAGATAGAAGACAGTATGCAAAATTCTTTAGCTGTATTAGGTCAGATGCAAGAGGTACGTGCCTGAATCAACACACACCTTTGTGGCATTTGCCTGTGAATAGTATTAGTGTGTGCAAAGGCAGGCCTGCTCATGATATTTGCAGGTGGCTAAATAGAGTGCATTGCGTTTCAGGTCCAGACTATTACACAGTTGCAGAATAGTGCTATTATACCTTTGTGCATGCTCAAGCAGAAAAGTATTCTATTTTTCACTTCTGCAGAATGGATCCAGCACTGTATAACTTTTTATGTGGTTAAATAGAACAAGCTTTGGGCTTTAATGACTTAAGAGTTTGACTGTCTATAAAAGAACTGAGTAAAAGAAGAAATTAATGTTTCACTGTAGGCATAAAGTGTTCGGGCAGAAGCGTGATGTTAATTTTTAAAGCATGTGGACCAGAAAGTTCAAGTTTTTAGGTCTTTGCTACTTATCCCAGTAAAAGGAATTGAGTTTGTGGTTTCACTTGACAAAACGTAACATGAAATATCAAAGGAAATTGATACCCTATAAGGTGTTGCCTTACTGCTATGAATAGTTAAAGAGAGCTTTAAATAGCATTTTTGGCACGTTGCGAAAAATGTGTCCGTTTGACTTTATCTAGCCAACAAATGCATTGAGGTTGTCAGCATCACAAAAAACACCACCCATGCCAACCAGTGACCCTGGATGAATGCCATCTCATTGCAGAGGTGAACTATGATGACAGACTGCTGCACCCTAAATGCACCTGTCGCCGCCTTGGTTCTGTTAAGTTTTCTTTCTGTCAGGGTTTGGTTTAGGTTTTGAGGACCCAAATGCAGAGGCAGGGAGGCCTCTGCATTTGGGTTTTAATTGAGTGTTCACAGGTAACAGAGGGAAGAATTAAAAATTCCGACTTAAAAATATAAAACAAACCAGAACCATGGAGACATCAGGGAAAACAAGCACGAGGAGCTGGGGAAAGATGAAGAAAGAGGAGGAATCAGACTGAAGAACTGCGCAGGGAGAGTATTTATGGCTGACTGAACAATGGCAGGACTAATGAGCTGATTGGGAGCAGGTGTGAACAGAGGCTTCTAGAAGGGAGCTAGGAAGAAAGAGACCAACACAACAGGGCTACAAAGAAACCTAAGAACTCAAATATATATTCCGAAAACACAACAAAATAGGAATTAAACCAATAATACTAGAAAACATGGAGTAAAGTAAAACTGAATACTCAAAGGAAAACTTAACAGAACCAAGACCGTGGCAGCACCAGGGAGCGTTATCACAGATCCTTCCTCCCAGCAGCTGTAAGACTCTATAACCACCACTGTTGCCAACTATCTCAATAAGTCATGCTGATTTTACACAGTTTCTAACTTAGTCTGTTGCTGTCATTTTGCACATCTCTGATGTTGCTGCTATTTTCAAATATCAATTTCTGTAAAAAGGTCCACATCTGTATATTGGTTATTTATTCTCCACATACAAAGTATTTATATTGTTAAAACACTTAACACTACAGTATTTTAATAAATTTTTTT